GTTAAAAACATAAAAGACCTCTATAGACGTCTTTGGCAGCCAATGAGATTATCTCACAGCACAATCCAATTCCACTTTACGTTTGTTTCTATAACTGTACCTCCCATAACAGATTAGCGGCCCACCTACGCTCCAGTCCACTTCGTGGACGGCGTCTCCATAGATGCCGTGGCGGCTCGTTCCTCTGAACGCCGCAGAAGCAAACATGGCCGTGTGGACTTGGAGGAATGAGAAGAACAGCAGGAAAGGTCTGGCCGAATTCCTGTAGAAACACAAACTCCCCTTGAGTTTAGTTTAGTTTAGTTTAGTTTAGTTTTGTTAGGATCCCCATTAGCTGCCAAATAAATGGCCACTAGTCTTCCTGGGGTCCTCACATGAAGAAATTATATTACATTATGAACAAATCATAAAAAATTAAAATTAAAATCACATTAGGAAATAATAAAAACATAAACAAGAGTAGAACTATACAACATATAGCACATTCAGTTCATCCTATCATCTGCAGTAGTTCTGAAGACAGAATCTTTTTGAAGCTTGTTCTGTTTTGAACTCTTCGTGTGGTTATTGGCAGTGGGTTCGAGTGAAATATGGCTCTATAATGCACTGTGGATTTTAGAGAGTTTGTTCTGGGTCGAGGGAGTTTAAAGTCTCCACCTCATGCCCGCCTTGTTAATTAATTATGATTTTGTTCAACAAGGACTAAATGTTCAGCAAAAAATGAGGGCTGTTTTTTAAAGAAAACATTTCATATAAATAGGAAAAGTCTTAATTTAAGTTTATAGGTAACTGTTAACTCATTGACTGCCAGCCATTTTCAGAACAGAGAGTCGCTCACTGCCAGAGTTTTTTGAGAATTTTGACAGATTTTTCAAGAGCCACAGAATAGTTTGTGCTTGGACTATGTAAACACCGAACACACCAAAAGAAAGAGTAGACTCTCTTCTTTCATCAGGAAAAAAAATGTGTTTCTACCTTATTCCGTTCTTCTTCGACGTGCGTCTCACCGGCGCCATGTTCTCTCATAGAACCGTTGCGTTTTTCTTATTTGCCTACAATCTATGCTCATCTCCCATCAAAAGTGGCACTCCCACCTAGAGGGTCAATTTGTTACTACATACTCTGTCTAGAAGCCGATATTTACGGAAAAACTTTAGCAGATCATTCCCCAAGCCACTCGCATTGAAAAACATAAAAGACGTCTATAGACGTCTTTGGCAGCCAATGAGTTAACCATGAAAGCCGTCTATGCATTGAAGCCACATTTGTTCTGTGTGAGCACTGAAGGACCCCTATAGCTGCCCTGTTTTGTGCCGGCTGAAGCTTGTGAAGCTCACTCTGTGAAGCAGATGACCATATCACCGGGCAATACTCCAGATAACTCAGGACCAGAGACTGTTCAACGGTTCCTCGTAGCTAAGCAGGGGAGCGGAAATGTACCTTTCTATGAAGTCCACGGCCTCCCGAGTCATCCTCTGCGTCATGTTCTCCGACGCGAACGGCTGCTCCACGATGTCGTGGTTCCTGTAGAGCAAGCAGTTGAGGTACGGCATCATCTTGATGAAGCCTGCCACCAGTCCTGTGAGCGTGGCCACCAGCATTAGCAAAACCAGAAGCACCCCTCTGGGGACGGGCAGAAATCCAGCGAAGTGCAGGACAACCGCACTGGCCAAGATTATTCCAAATGTCCTCAACGGTAGGTATTTCTCAAGCTGGAAAACAGTGCCGTGTCCTGGTTGGCAGTCTCGCAAGTTGGTCAGCGGGATACCGAAGAAGTACTTGAAGCCGTGGACGCTGGGGTGGTGGCAGTGATCGTCTCTGGTCTCGCAGTTAAGTCCCAGGTGCCATTTTCCTGCCGACGAGAAGGAAGTGACAAAAAAATGCATATCTGAGGGGCTTCCTTTTGGAAAGACGCAAACTTTGGGGGTACAAATCATTGTGTTCTTTCAGATTTTGACCAGTACCACTAGGGGAGATCACATTTCTATTGTTCCCTGTCATCCTTACAACTATACAAACCCAATAGAGACCAACTTATGTCAGAGATTTGATCATTCCTTGATGAGAAGAAGGAAGGAAGTAACAAAAAAATGCATATTTGAGGGGCTTCCTTTTGAAAAGATGCAAACTTTGGAGGTCCAAATCACTTTGTTCCTCCCGATTTTGACCAGTAGCACTAGGGGAGATCACATTTCTATTGTTCCCTGTCATCCTTACAACTAGGTTTAAGTTATTTTCATTACATACAAACCCTATAGTGACCAACTTATGTCAAAGATCTGATCATTCCTTGATGAGAAGGAAGTAAGTGACAAAATAAAATGCATATCTGAGGGGCTTCCTTTTGGAAAGACGCAAACTTTGGGTGTCCGAATCACTTTGTTCCTCCAGATTTTGACCAGTACCACTAGGGGAGATCACATTTCTATTGTTCCCTGTCATCCTTACAACTAGGTCTAAGTTCTTCTCATTACACACAAACCCAATAGTGACCAACTTATGTCAAAGATCTGATCATTCCTTGATGAGGAGAAGGCAGGAAGTGACAAAAAAATGCATATTTGATGATTCCTGATCATTCCTTGTCGGCTACAAAGGAGTTATTCACTCTCAGACACTGGTCAATGAGAGTGAGCTCAAGTTGTCAGTTGCCTTATCCTATCTCCATGACCCCAACATAGATCCAGATGAAATCCAAAGAGCTAAAAGAGTTCGAGCTACTGGAGCGGCCTCAGGCCTCCAGGAAATATGTGGACAGCTCTGAAAAGGCTATGCATGTCGCCAATAAAGCCTACAAATCGCACCCAGTGCTACTGGCCAAAGTTTTTCGGCCAAGAAGTTAAAGAGTTTGCGGCAACACTCCCAAATACAACTCAAGCGAATAGAGATTTTTCAACTTTGATGGAAGACATTTATGGCATTGAATATCTTTAATCGTGTCTCAAACCTATTTCGAGTCTTCCCTTCTATGCTAACTTCAACTACCCAAAATACGTGTTCACCAACAGAGTGAAGGAGCTGTCCACCTTAGGCAAAAACAGCCAAAAATATATCTCAAGTTCAGCTCACTGTGGTTTTAATTGAGTTATCCCTGAACTGTGAATTCAAGGTAGTATTACTCGGCAGGTTATGTTGGCTTTACCTGGCCATAAAACCCATATCTATTACCTGCTGTTCTAGCTTTTTCACAGTGACTAAGTGGAGGACCGGGGCTTCGCATAAGTGTGTGTGCTGACCTATCAGAGCCGTCTCATAGCCTTGTTGTTTGGCTATCGTAGCAAAGGTCACCTCCCGACTCGGAAGACCACCGGACGCTGCGTTAAACAGAAAGACGCCCGGCCTCGAATGACCGGCGATCCCTGGAAGAGAGAAAAATGTCCTTCAGTTTAAGCCGAGTACACAACAGGACATTAACTGCCTAAAACGGACTGGAATCACCAAAAGAGGAGGGATAGGTTAGGCCTAGACATGGGTCCGATTGGCACTTTGGGGTGGCTTCTCATACAGTGGTCTGCAAAAGTTTGGGCAACCTCGTTAATTTCCATGATTTTCCTTCATAAATCGTTGGTTCTTATGATAAAAAAAAAAATCAGTTACATATATCATATAGGAGACAAACACAGTGATATTTGAGAAGTGAAACGAAGTTTATACCATTTACAGGAAGTGTGCAATAATTGTTTAAACAAAATTAGGCATGTGCATAAATCTGGGCACTGTTGTCATTTTACTAATTTCAAAATCTTTAGAACCAATTATTGGAACTCAAAATTGGTTTGGGAAGCGATTTATGCGATTTATGAAGGAAAATCATTGAAATGAACAAGGTTGCCCAAACCTTTGCAAACCACTGTAGATGCCATCAAATACCAATAAGACTGATGGGTGGGGGACTTTGAGGCCAAATGATAACATCAAGAGTTTGTTATGGAAAAAGTTTGTTAAATGAGTGAGGCAAAGTTTCTTAGTAATTAGAGAAGATCGATCTTGTCCAGTAAAGATGTTTTATTTGAAGGCAACAGCGATCGAAGACACAGGTCACAGAGTAAACGTCCCCTTATATAACTTAGTATGGATAAAAGAAAGGAAAAGGCCACTGTGCTTCTTATCAACAACAAACAAAGAGATTCTGATTTACATTCAGTCCTAAAGGAAGTCCCATGGAGAACCTCCAAAAAGACAGGGCTATGCTTATTCTCAGGAAATGTCCCTAATGTGGACGGACCAAAAGGAGAATCTTCTCAGGAGATGAGTGAGGATGGCACAAAGGGCAAGTCATACAATTTCAATGATAAACAGGAATGGGAGATTCATCCTTGATGGGATTAAGGAAATTGTTGCATTTCCTTCTGGTGCTAAAACCATAATTACCATACATGCGAAACGACTCTCCCTAGAGGAATTAACAACCAGGTATCCTTAGCAAAGAACCAAAAGAGAAAAATCAAGTCAACAAGTTCTTCTAGAGATGTAGACGGTCAAAGGTCAAAGGGCAAAGGCGGTGCGGGTAAACTGGCCTGATCTTATGGGGTACCGTCCGGTGAGAGATTCATCCTTGATGGGATTAAGGAAATTGTTGCATTTCCTACTGGTGTTAAAACCACAGACTCTCCCTAAAGGAATTAACAACCAGGTACCCTCAACAAAGAACCAAAAGAGACCTATCTCCAGGACAAGTTCTTCTAGAGATGTAGAGGGTCAAAGGGCAAAGGCGGTGTGGGTAAACTGGCCTGATCTTATGGGGTATCGTCCGGTGAGAAAGGCGGCCCTGCTGGGGGAGCAGAGGCTGGCGGCGGCGATGTGGTGGGTCAACTTCACGCCTTCCTCCGCCAGCCTGTCAATGTTGGGGGTCCTGCAAATCAAATCGTTCAGCTTCAGGGGTCACGTCTAAAGACCTGGATTCATAGCTTACTGTAAACAAAACTTTAGAGGTCTACCACGTAGATCGCTACAGCCACCGATTGACTTCAGGTGCCTTTTCCTGTCCCGACCCAGAAGAAGGACTCTTTTGAACCCTTGTGCACCCTTTCGTGTTTTAGTTGAATCAGGGGTACGAATGGATTCAGGGGGTGCACCAGGGTTAGGGGATAGGATGCAGGCCTAAGTCTTTCTTTGAACTCTGAGCACGAGATAGGCATCTTATCCCCTAACCGTGCTTAGGGTAAGGGGATAGGATTAGATTATTACCATAGATAGCTAGCTAGATAGCTTGATAGTTAAATAGATAGATAGATAGATAGATAGATAGATAGATAGATAGATAGATA